AACTTATTCCTGAGGCAGATTAAATGTTTTATCTGCCAGTCATTTATGAGAGCTCTAATGAAAATGATCACTCATTTCGTGGTACAATTATATAAGGCAGTGTCTTGAGGGGGAAAACTGTAGAGACTTATATTTGTTCCCTTTCGAAGGTAGTACAAAAGACATTAGATGAAAAACAGTCATGCTGTTGGACTTACAGTTTGGCTCATAAATAACTAAGACTATCTGGATTCTTTTCATCTGTCCCTGTTTGAAAGGTATATCGATAAACGAAAATGTTTCTGTCAGGAACTGAAAGCAAATCAGTGTTTCAATTTTTCACTCCCCTCTTTAGGGTAAGTAGTAAAGCAAACCACAAGAGGGATAAGGTATCACAGCTTATCAGTAGAAAGTTAAACTAACTTGCTTTTAAAAGTCCTTTCCACAAGTTGCAAAACTAGCAAACTCTTAGCCTTTATCGGATACATACCTTTGAATTCAAAGCTGCCAGATACAAGGCAATTAATTTCTTGTCCTTTTCCCTAATAACACATAACATACAGTTGTAGAGGCCCAGCTTCCCACTGCTCTAATACACACAAGCATTTATAAAAACCTGTGTCGGTGGAAGCTGGAGGATACTCAGCATTTTTGAAAATCAGGTGACTATTTAATAATTAAATGACTCTGCCCTTAGGCTCCTATTTTAAAATATCTGGCCAGAATATTCAGTCACAACTGACTCCATTTTGTCCCCTTCCCCCAAATTAGCCTCCCATCATTACTTTTCAATGACATTTCTTGCTACCCATCCCAGGTACAAACCTAAAAATACATATAAATATGCAGAAATTGATCATTCTGAATGAACACAATAGACTTGTTTCAGGCCCATTGTCTTGTGTCTCCTCAACGGCCCTGTTTATCCCTTCAAAAAAATCACCCAAATTAATGGGTTTGAATTTGAGACAACACTCCTGACTACACAATTGATTTTCTCTTTGTTGATCTCTTTCAGATATTTCATTATCTGGACCATCTCAGACATTGGCTGAAGAATTTGCAAAAGCTGCAAGACAACTTAAACAAGAAGCTCCTGGTATCAGATTTGGCAAAGTTGATGTCACAGACCAAAAAGATCTGAAAAAAGAATTTAACATTCAAGAGTTTCCTACTGTGAAGTTCTTTGTGGATGGTGATAGGAACAACCCTATCGATTGCAAAGGTAAACTGCTGTTTGGACGGATGGAAGTGCATAATATCCATTGTCTCACTGATGGAAATGGCTTATTACATTATTGACCATACTCAGATAAAAAGTGTATTAGATAATAAAGGGATTCTGCCCTTGACAGGATATGTATATTTAGCTAGATATGCAGATACCGATGTGTACACGTGTGCATATAGTAAAGACAAAATAGGATTTGAACTTGCTTTCCAAACTTAAGAATTCAATGCTCTTCTCTTACCAGCAATGCAAATAACTCCATTTAACTACCATGCATGCCCATTGACTACAATGAGCTTGAATACAATGGAGTTACACTGGGAAAGAATTAGGACAAATTACATCTTATTTTGCATATGTGCCTGTGACGGATTTACCAGGTGTACAAAATAGGATTTGAACTTGCTTTCCAAACTTAAGAATTCAATGCTCTTCTCTTACCAGCAATGCAAATAACTCCATTTAACTACCATGCATGCCCATTGACTACAATGAGCTTGAATACAATGGAGTTACACTGGGAAAGAATTAGGACAAATTACATCTTATTTTGCATATGTGCCTGTGACGGATTTACCAGGTGTGAGAGCGATGTTTTTGTCCCGGGGGCCTGTTCCCTGGAGCAGGGTTCGTGAGTATGATCACCTGTTGCTGGTTCGGCACTGGGGTTCTGCAGACCCACTGCCCTGTCCGTGTTAAGGGTCCTGGTGTCCCATCGGGGTAAGAGTTCCGGGGGCCTGTCCCTGGTAAAGGTCCTTCCCGGATGGATAACAAGAGTTCGGATAGCATTTGAGGTCACTCGACTCCCAGAGGTTGCAGACTACTGGGTAAGTCAGGGAGGCTGAGACTGCAGGGAAGGAGGACGTGGGGGACCCGGGCCTGCCCTCTCCACCAGGTCCCAGCCCGGGGCCCTAAGTGGGGGAAACTAGCGCGCTCCCTCCACGACAGGCAGGGTTGATCCTCACAACTCGCCTGTCCACGGGCGCCAAAAGTGCTCTGTCCACTCCCCGTCTTTCGCCAACCCACCTGGGTATCCACACGGGACACTTACCACGCCCGAGCCCCCGGCCCCATCTGGCCGGTGTCCTAGGGGCTCCGCCCCCCGCACCGTCTGGCTCAGTGCTGCCAGAACGCTTCTCGGGCGCCCGGCCCGTGCGCCGCAGCTGCATTTGGCCCCACCTCCCTCGGCGCAGGGCTGTCCGCGTTCCCCCGCGCAGGACCTCAGCCCAGATGGGGCTACTCCTGCCACTCACGCTGCTGGCCTGCCCTCCCCGGCCCGGGGAGGGGGCGGTCCCCCTTCCCGGATCAGTGCGGACCCTGCTGGGTCTGTCACAGTGCCATTCCCAGGACTCTCAATACAAGTTCCACGCACAGTATGAAGACAGCATAAATAGCAGAGGTTGCACTATGGTTTGGAGAGGGCTGTTTTAACAACCACCTTGTCAGTTGGCAGGCGGGGGGAGGGAGGGGCTGGAAAGGGAGAGAGAGAGAGAGAGAGAGAAAGACTGCATATGTTGTTCTCTGATTCTAATCTAAGAAGGAAGTTTGAAGCTGGCAAATTACCCACCAGAGGGAGCTCACTTAAGGCTCAGTAATGTAATGGAATAATTACTACCTTACATTAAACATACTATAATATTTGGCTTTTGCATTCCCTACTTCAGAATATGCACAATCTCCAGAAATCCAGACTTGATTAGAGTTTTTGCTTCATTAAAACTAGACAATTATTCGGGCACATCTACACAGTAGGGTTAAAGCTGAAATAAGCTACTCAACTTGAGCTATTTCAATTGCGTAGCTTAAGTCGGAATAGCTTATGTCGGCTTTTGGCACTGTCTACACAGCACGAATTCTGAGAAAGATCACTCTTCCTCCAAATTCCCTTATAGGAGTTCAGGGGTGGCCCATCAATATAGGCAAACTAGGCGGTCACCTAGGGTGCTAAGATAAACGTCCGTTGAGGGCTTTGGAGGCGGGGGCGCCAATCGCGCGTTTTGCCTAAGGCGCCAGTTGCCTGCAGCTCGGCTAGGGCTGCTCCTGCAGGAGTTGAAGTAAGGAGTCCTCCAGCTCGACATTATTTTGACATTATATCGAAAGAATGGCTTGCTGTGTAGACACGGACTATATTATTTCGGAATAACATTAGGTATTCTGAAGTATCTCTGCTGTGTAGACATACCCTAATTGTGCACACTGGTTAAAAATGATGTTTTGCTGCAGCTAGTAAGTAAGTAGCCTGGGTGTAAGTCTGTATCTGCCATTGATCTGTGCAGAAATCAGGCAGCTAGTAAGTAAGTAGCCTGAGTGGTTTTGGGGTCTGATGAGAAGCAGATAAGCCAAGACTTTTTGAAAACAGGAGCCTATAGTTTGGCTCCTAAACTCACTTTTAGGCACTTGAACTAGTGACTCTGTTTTCAGAGCTGCTGAGCCCCCTCAGTTCCTCAGACTTCAGTGGAGCAGCTGTGTTCTCACTACTTTTATTCCTTCTTCTGCATCACCTGGTTTTTTTTTAACTGAGTTCCTCTCCTTCCACCTGTATGAATAGCAGGGCCTGCACCAGAGTCATTGAACATGATTTGCCCACTGAACTTATTAGTGGTAATGATGTATGAGAATGAGAAAACCCAGCCTGAGTCTTTAGATGAGACTGTAGGACTGGCAAGAAACCACCTTTTAGCTTGCAAACTCATTTGATGTGTCTATTACTGAAAGACAGTGAAGGAGGTGTCTGATAATGCCAGAGAAGAGCTGCTCTTTCATCGTTACCTATAAATGAGCTGCAGAGTTACTAATATGTTTAGATTCTTGTGAAACTGTGCACTAATGTAAAAATACCTGATAAATAATTCACAAATCATCTGCAGCACACAGCTCCAATCATTCCTAACTGGTAGATTGATACATTATTTATTTACAATGATGAGCAAGCATAATATTGAAAAATCAAACAAGTGTCCTCTCTGATAGGTTATAGCTGTTAAGAAGTACTTAGAGTGGCCAGATAAAAAAGTACTATAGGTGTCCAAAAGAGTTATTTATTAGAGGAAATATTTAACCCTTAAATACAAAACAAATGCCTTTAAGTGGCACTGACACATGAAGTGAAAAATGAAACTACCCTGAAATATTTGATTAAAGGGATTTTTTAATGATTATCACAAGTGATAAACAAACAGAGCCAGATCAAATCTTAAGAAACCAATGAGCCATTTACTTCACCGAGACCAGGATTTGGCCCAAATATACTAAGTACAAGGCCATTTCAGGTAATCCAAGACAATGACTAGCCCGATGAAGGATTTGCTGAGGTTTGTATGGCTGACCTAATAACACATTTGCCAGAGCTGGGCAAGATGCATCCCTGGGCCTAACACTTAGATCTGACCTGCCAACTGCATCTTGCCATTTTCAATTTATGCCCTGCTGGCATGCTACCAAATTTCCAGGAGGTGGCTCAGGCAGCAAGATCCTATTTAAAGGGCTTGTTGCTCCTGGTCATGGCACTACCCTGGTAGGGGCCAGAGCCATGATCCCTTTATATAGCTGCTCTAACCCTGGGCAGCTGCCAGGCAGGGCCAGGATCTGTGAGCCCTTTGATGTATTTTTAATTCAAAGCCTCTGGCCCCAGCAGCTCTGGGGCGAGGCTCATGAAGTGGCCATTGCCCACCCCTGATATTGGCTCTAAGAGCTTTGATCTGCATGTAGACACTGTTCATCTGCCATGAAGCTGCTAGATAATGCTCTTTACACTTTGCAATTCCGGCCTGTGTTCCTCAGGACAAATGTAAGCCTGCCAAGCTTTTAAAGAATATTATTCAGATTCAGATGCAGTGAGGGCTGCTGCAAAATGTCCTAGAGGAAATCAACTGAATAGGCCTGCCCTGACTTTTATTCTTGTGACACTAACAAGACGTGCAGTTTCAGGATCTGAATGTTTGATCAGTAGCTTGTAATATGTAGCATGACTACACCATAGCACGGTATATACAGGCTAACACTATTTCAGTGCTCTTTTTTTCATATACAATTCCAATTAATTTCTTGCTGGATCCCTCATCTTAAGGAACATTACACTGAAAGATATGAAGGGGTATTCTTTTAGGGTGGGATCTTCAGCTCCCTCTTAGCCTTTAAGAGTCATGTTTGTAAACATTTTTTTCAAACAAGAGGGCTAGAAACTTTATTTTTAAATGAAACCAGCGATTCTTGACCCTAGGAGCAGGGGCTTTAAGAAAAGAAAACCACCATAATATTGGGGATAAAATGATGAGAGATGGCAACCCTGAACAAGTGGGGAGCATCTAGAATTAACAGAGACTTGACTGTCTGAAAAGTCACAGGGTATGTCTACACTACCCCGCTAGTTCGAACTAGCGGGGTAATGTAGGCATACCGCACTTGCTAATGAAGCCCGGGATTTGAATTTCCCGGGCTTCATTAGCATAAGCGGGGAGCCG